CTAGAACAACTCCCAGCCCTCCCTATACCAGGACACTGTACCTCAAAGACAAAACCACCTAACTAATTGTCAACCATAGCTGATCTCTTCTCGCTTCATTGCAGCGCCCCCTGGTTCACCACTAGACTGCCTTCCACCCTCAGCAAACCCCAGATCTCTCTACAAGGCCTCACGCTCCTGCTATTAACAGGTTACAGGGCAACGCCCCAGCTCCGGCCAGCGTCGTTCTGGCATCGGCAAACCAAGGGCACAGAACAGAGCAACTCAGTTGAAATCAGTCCAGGTTCGACTGTGTGCAAAAAAACTTGGGTTTTGGAGAAATAACTGATCCATACCTGCCTTGTAATACGTGGGACAACAGAATAAGGTATCACCTGGGTTGTGGTCTATTGGAGATATTAAGACTAGTCCATTCAAGAGATTCTTCCAGGTCTGCACATTCTTAGTCGAAAAGGGTAGGCCTATCAGTTGCCGAAGGGTAAGGTTATCAGAGGAGCCAAGATGCGTACATGGTTCAAGGGGAAGAGCATTGTTACGAGCATAATTGGAGCGGGATTTGAGACAGGTGGAGAGAAGAGAGTCTGGTCTGGGATAAAGAACCGGTGTGAGGGAGGGATGAGAGGGACATCCTTGAGACCCCGAAGAATCTGTGCCCGAAGGAAACGACAGCCATAAGAATTGGGAGGGGGAGGTACGTTCCTAGAGTTCTTCATCCACGTAGGTATGAAGAAAGTATCCTTGGCTCGGAAAACTATATGCCCATTAGCTTCCGCCAGCGCAAATCCTTCCCCTAAACCAGATTCACGTAATGCCTCACCATCCGAAGGAGTTTCAAATTGTGAGAGTCCCATTTGATCAAATCTAGCACGAATCATATCGCACGTGCACTGCACCTCATGCTTGTGCGAATATTCTCTAAAATTGTGCAGGGCCTGCGCTATACTCTGATTCCTTGTCCATACCACAATGTCACGCATTCTCCTAGCTAACATATCTGATAATGGCACAGGGAGAGATGCTTCCTTTATGACACGAGAGCACAGAGTACGGACCTTGGTTTTCGACACATCATCGGAATACTTAATCCGGAACACAAGACGCCTGCGTGGACAAAACCCGAACCTCCGCCGAATTACGCCAGAAATAATTAATCTCAAAGTCTGTCTAGATTGTTTCTTGGAAAAACACCTCACAGCATTGTATGCAAAAATCAGATTTTCCAAAGTCCAAGTACACAACAGCTTCCTGTCAGCGGGGTGACTGAGTAGCCTAGCTATTGGCGGCTTGAGTGATTCGGACCGTGAGCAAAATCTGACAATACTGCTGAAATGCAACATAGTCCCACTATCCAACCAAGACTTGCATCGTTTGAGTTGGTCCCTCCCATACTTGGAACATACAACTGAAGCACCAAACACTCTTTTAATGACCTTCCAAGAATCCGAGAGGATAGCACCACCCTTGTTAACTGCCGAAAATGAAGACACTCCCAACCGGAGACATTCATAGAGAATCACCGAGAACGACATATAGGACTCAGACCCCAATAGACGTGATAAACAATGCTGCAATCCCCTTGTTTCCCATAGCATGGCCTGTGTTGGCCGCATTCTACGTTCTCTCTCTCTC